TTATCACTGGAATATTTTTCTAAAAAAGCATGTACGCCCCTGACTTTTTTTCTCATGTTAGCGAAATAGTGTAAGCAGTTTAATGCCGATTAAAAGTTGTCTCTTGATATTTTGTCGATTTCGGCCTCCTTGATGAGATAAACGCAATTTTATTAATTTGCATTGATCCAAATCTAATAGCAACCTTTAAAAAATTTAATATCATTAACGTTCGAAAGACAACCAAAAAATATGAAAAAAAGTTTTTATAAACATGGGTATGGAAAAGCAAAGTTGTGGAGTTACAGGATGTTAAAACTTTTTAAAATTAGATTTTTTGTAATTATGTTAAATACCATTATTTTTACTATTACAGTTGAGGGTTGGAACCTTTGGTGTTACACAGCAAAATAAAAACACTAAATCACCACAATACACCAAAACACTTTTACTTTTACTAGTTTATAATCATCTGCTGATGATGCTAACATGGTTAGCGAAGCGCGCGTCCAGTGTAAAAGTAAAAGTGTTTTGGTGTATTGTGGTGATTTAGTGTTTTTATTTTGCTACCATTATTTTTTTTATTTGAAATTGCTGTAGGTTGGACTGATGATAATAATAACTAATAGTAATATTATTTAATAATAAATTAGGTAAAATATATAATTTATTAATTTTATTAATTGTGATTAATAAAATTGCGTTTATCTCATCAAGGAGGCCGAATTCGACAAAATATCAAGAGATAACTTTTAATTGGCAATAAAAGGCCTACATAATTCTGATATCAAAAGAAAAAAGTCACTGGCGTACATGTTTTTTCTTTGGAAAATATTCCAGCGATAACCCATATGCACGTCCCTGATGAATTTATCGACACTTTTTTTAGCTTTAAAATATGGAGCACTTATAATAATTTTTACCTTCAAAATTTCATTTTAGTCACTAAAAATACTTGGAAGAAAATGATAATAAATCTAAAGATTATTAAGACTTTAACACCCTGTAGCTACGAAATAAAGCAGAATCGAACCTATATTGATATGAAAAATAAATCATATTTTTACGTGAGGTATCTCCCCACGAAAGATGGCACATGTTTTTTAAAACACCCTGTATATGTGGGTAAATTTTGCCCTTCGGGTAGCTTTTACACATGCCGGACATAAAAGTCTCACTTACCCAAACGCAAATACGCAAGTTAATTGCTATGGAGCTTAAATTGCTGGACCTTCCAAGCTGCTACCGACTGGCTATAAATAAATATAGCCGACGAACAAAGGAACACTAATTACTTTTTCGTTCCAGTATATATTTTATGCAGATATTGCAAATTTGACACATAACAAGAATATATTAACTTCAGTAAATAGCATAATGGTGAAGTAGTGAGTATTCTTACAACAATGTAGCAAATACACCTCAATATATTTCTTTTTAATTATGTATTGGAATAAAGATTGTCTCATCTAAATACTGTAATAACGTACAGCCGAGTAAAATCAAATGAATATTGAATTGATGCAATGGGAGGTTAAAATACACTTCGGAATATTTTGAACAAGTCTGTAGCCTTTCTCATATTAAAGGGGTGGTATTTGGTATTAATAATAACGAACTGCTGTGCAGAACAGTATTGTAAAGTATATTCAAGTAATAAATAAAAATTTTCTTTATATCATTATTAATTAGTAATGCTAAAACTTCGAAATTATATTATTTCAAAAAACATGTGGCCATTTCTCGTGGGGAGATTCCTCACGTAAAAATAAGATTTATTTTTCATATGAACATACCCAAGCAACACACAATGGTATATTATACGTTTAAACTGATCTAATACCGTCGCGTCTGTCTTGTCTAGGTATACCACAAAGAATGTGAAACGTATAATAAACTGCAAAATGTCCGCGACTTCAACGTATATATTTAAGGTTTCTATATTCCTTTTATAATCGTATATACATATACCAATATTATACAAGTATATTAGCAATTTATGATATACTAGGATTACACGTAGACCAAATACGTGTATTAAATGTTATTTTTCTTTATAAATTTATACGTGAAACAGAACCGTTTATTAAATGTTATTTTTACATACAAATTTATACGTATCCAGGAAATGAAATTTAGTAATATAACCACCTAGCATTATTGTTTTTCATTAATGTGAAGGATTTTTGAACCAGTATAAACAAACCTTAGGTTACTTAAGAAATGCTACATAATGGTGACATAAATCATACCCTATCCCTATAACCCCATAATATATTGCAATAATTATATACCATAATATTGCAATCTTTAAGTAACCTAAAATTAAAAAGTTTGTTTTTACTGCTTCAAAAATTCTTCCTATTAATAAAAACAATAATGCTAGGTGGTTAAATTACTAAATTTAATTACCTAATACAGTTTTTATGGTTAATGGTAGGATTTTTAATGAATAAGTATAAAAAACTTAACGTGAATATGGATTGGTTTGGTTTGGTTTGGTTGATTTTTTTTTGTCTTATTAGCGAAATAGTGTAAGCCGTTTAATGCCGATTAAAAGTTGTCTTTTGATATTTTGTCGAATTCGGCCTCCTTCATGAGATAAACGTAATTTTATTAATTTGTCTTAATCCAAGTCTAATAGCAACCTTTAAAAAAATTTAATATCATTAACTTGCGACAGTGTTAAATAAGTATCCATTGATTCTTCATCAAAAAATATGAAAAAAGTTCCTATAAACGTGGATATGCAAATACACGGTTTTAAAGTTACAGGATGTTAAAACTTTTTAAAATTAGGTCTTTTGTAATTATCTTAAACATCATTATTTTTTTATTTGAAGTTGTTGTAGGTTGGCCTCATACTAATAATAATTAATACTAATAATATTTAATAATAAATTAAATCAAATAAATAATTTATTAATTTTATTTTAATTTTATTAATTGTGATTTTTGTGATATTTTACGAAACAATTTTTTTAATTAGGCCGTTCATTTCAAGGTAAAATCTGGCATTATCATAGACTGACATAATCATAGAACTTTGTTTATTAAAAATATTTTTTTCTATAGCACCCCTAAAAATGGGAAAGATTGCAAATTTACCCTTTCGTAGATATTGCATTGTAAGCACCACTTATCAAATAAACCATACTGTATAATATCTAAAGGAAAGGTTGTTGAAATATACAATACTGCGCAGGGAGTATGAAATTATCATAATTTATTGTGCGGAGAATAGTAAAAATGATTGACGAAAGCAGGCAGTAGCTATATAGAAAGGATATAAAAGGAGAAATAGGTAATAAGGTATTGTATAAGCGTCTACCGGACTACAACTCGATAAATGCAATTACACATATTCAGCATAGTCTGCCTTTGAAATGGTAATAAAGCCAAAGCCCAATTTGGAAATTCTTAGTTGACCCCCGAGTTCAAGAGAGACGCTGTGCAGGTCTATGGTGAGTCATTAACATAATATTATGTCTGAAAGTACGTAGGCTACTTGCAGTACGAACACAACAATTTTTAGTGTGACCCAACGAGCACTACTACACAACAAACTACCATTTCGATACTTTTTATAATTATTATAGATAGATATAGGAGGTTTTTTATCACTTGTTATACTATTATTAGTAGATACTATTATTTACTAAGTTAAGGCCTTTTAATTTCTTTATACAGGGTGGTCCGAACTGTATTCCGGAAACTTCGGAAGCATATTCTGCAGATAAAAATAAGTAGAAAAGTTCGTATAAATGTATGTTCTAAAATACTTAGTTCAGAAATTATTTAGAAAAAATCGAAATAAAAATGAAACTTCTACACCCTGTATCTCTGAAACTAACATCAATATTTAGATGAAAATTGATGTATGGAAGTTTTTTTACATGAGAAATTTGATTTTGATGTCAATATGGCTCATACAAGTAGAGGGCGCCACCTACATGTGTTTTGACTGTTTTGAAGAGTCATAACTTTTTGTCCGTACCTGTATAGAAGTACCGAGTGAAAAAATATACATCCCTGTGACTTTTTACGTATAAAATACCTCTTTGTAAAAATCGCTACGAGCAACCGTTCTCAAGATATTTAGAATGGAAATAGTCAACACATTTACAATAACGTTATTATTGACGAAAAATAAACATGTTGAGTAGATAGTTATTTCACTGAAATAATAAATTTGGGAAATTTATATTTTTTTAAATTAATCATAAATTTTTCTGCAAAAAATGACGATAAAACAATTTCTGTTGAAGTTTAGCACAAAAACATTTCAAATTTATGATTTTAGTCTAATAACTATTTAGTCAATATATGTTTAATTTATGTCAATGATGACAGATATTGATAATTTCGATTCCACATATCTCGAAAACCATTACTCGTAGCGATTTTTACCAAGAGACCTTTTTCACGTAGAAAATGTCGTAAATATATCTTTTTTTACTCAGAAGTTTTATACAGGTACGGACGAAAAGTTATTACTCTTCAAACCAGTTAAAAAATATGTAGGTGGCGCCCTCTACTAGTAGGAGTCATATTGACATCAAAATCGAATTTCTCATGTCAAAAAACTTCCAGACACCAATTTTCATCCAAATATTGACCTTACTTCAGAAATTATTTGGAAAAAATCGAAATAAAAATGAAACTTCTACACCCTGTATTTCCGAAACTAAGCATTTTAGGACATACATTTATTTTTCTACTTATTTTTATCTGCAGAATATGCTGCCGAAGTTTCCGGAATACAGTTCGGTCCACCCTGTATACTATTATTTATTAAAATGTGAATATTTAAATGATTTGTTATTGAAATACTATTCTTATTATTTCTAATGATTATTCTGAAATGTTCGAATCTTATCGCTATTATGTTTTTCTTTCGAATGTATTTTTTCTATTATGACAATTTTATATTTAAAAAAATTACTTACTAACTTCTTCAAAATGTTTTAATATTTAATTGTTCAAATTAAAACAATTAGGGTTTATCTTTTTTTTTTCAGAAAGAAAGCAGATCTCAGGACTGATGTGGAAAAAGTAGAACCCAAAGATTTAACTAATAGAAATATGTTTCCTAGTGCACAGATTAAAATGAGGTAAGTTTCACATTAAATAAAGAAAATTTTCAGTAGAAAGAAATTTACAAATTATAATTTTGATAAAGTGCAAAAGTCAATAACATTGATAATAAAACTAAAAAACAAAACCACATACAAAAATCTATAAAAAGGCTTATTTTCAAACTTCAAAAAAATAGTATTTAATATTATATTTATTAACATAACTTATGTACCGGGTGTCCCACTAAGAATAGCTCTCGGCTGTATCTCGGAAATTATTAGCCGTAGAGGCTGCGGAAAAAAATATTTATAACTAAAGAGGCTATGAGAAATTGCTGGAAATTATTTTCAAGTTTGTAGAATGACCGCTAGGGGGCGCAACAGGTCGGAGTTGGCCCAGCCTAAGGTGTAACAGGCGCCATCTGCAATTCTTTGTTGTTATTTTCCTCATTCGTCACAGTGGCGGGGAAATATCTGCTTCATTTAAACATTGATAATCTCTGGACTGATGATCGGGAATCCGTCAGCGGTGGCCGCTTGTTTCACTCTGGCCATACCGCGTAGACGGGGTGTTGTCTGTTCTGTCGACAGTGTTGACCTCGTGTCAAATTTTGCTGATCGGAAAGAAAAAGCCAGCCATCAGCGAAAACCGCACATTTCAAACCATTAGTTAGCAAAATTAATTACTACCAAGCCCATCACTTTATTTTTGCCAATGGCATTTGATGCTCATTCTAACAAAAAATAAGATAAAAAAGTTAGTTTATTTTAAAATCGACGAAATACCAGAACACCAGATGTATTACTGTCTAATACCTAAGATATTAATAACAGAACAAGAAACCATGATTCAGTGAAGTCATGGTAGGCTTTGGAAAAAAGTTGCTTTTCACGTAATAGTATAAACGTCAAATTGTTATTAGATCAACATTTTGATAGTCTTAGCAGCGTTTTTTATATTTTTATTGCTTTTTCAAAATGCCAACAACTTCAACTACTTCAAATAATGAAGGTATTTTGAAAAAAGCAATTAAAAGATAAAACACGCGGCTAAGACTATCAAAATGTTGATCTAATAACAGTTTGACGTTTATACTATTACGTGAAAAGCAACTTTTTTCCAAAGCCTACCATGACTTCACTGAATCATCGTTTCTTGTTCACTGTTATTAATATCTTAATTATTAGATATTAATAGGTACCTCTGGTATTATGGTATTCTGGTATTTCGTCGATTTTAAAATAAACTAACTGTTTCTATCTTATTTTTTGTTAGAATGGGCATAATCAAGAGGGCAACTGATACCGTATTGTAAAAATAAGGTAATTAAGGGCTTATTTTTTGGTATTTATTATAATTTTGCTAATATCTTCGGTTTGAAAGAAGATATCAAGATGCGGTTTTCGCTGACTTTTTAAGCTTTTTCTCCTCTTTCCGATCAGCTAAAATTACATATACTATTGTATTTATTTTTTTGAATAAACGCGCAATGTTTGTTAAATTGTAAGACAACGCCCCCTAGCGTCTACGTCCAAAAGCTTATTATTATTGTTTATATGGTATAATATAGAGTAAGAAACGCTCTTTTAAACGAGCCCTCTCTTGTTGGATTCCGATCATCCAGTCCAGAGTTATTGATGTTTAAATAAAAACAGATCTAATCTTCCCCCGCCACTTTATTTTGGTAGATAGGGGAAAATGGCTCTAACAAAAAATATTCAAAATTTACTGAAGATTAAGAAGCTATTACTTATAGTACACCTTATCTAGGCAAAATTGTGTAAAAACTCCATTTTCTTATTTTTTGTTGCAGTTGCGCCCCCTAGCGGTCGTTCTACAAACTTGAAAAATAATTTGCAGCAATTTCTCATAGCCTTTTTAGTCATAAATATTTTTTTCCGCAGCCCCTACGGCTAATACTTTCCGAGATACAGCCGAAAGCTATTCTTAGTGGGACACCCTGTACAAAGAAAAAAAGTTTTAATATTTCAGAAGAATAAATAAGCCAGTATCTTTTGACATTATCTCTCAACAGTACCTAAACGAAGTTTATTGGTGGATAATACAAGTCCCTGGGTCTACGAGTACTTACTTTTCCTTGGATTTTTCTTCCACTTAACTTAAAATAACACTTTTAAAAATCACAAAGCACACGTAATAACACAAACCAAATACAAAAGCAATTCGCAAATATCATTGCAGTGAAGATCTCAAATCAAAAATCTGCACTTCTTTAATACTTATTATTACTTATTTAATATTTGATGGTTACAAATAGTTCATAAAAGGTATGTTTCCTTATACAAATAAAAAGAGATACCAACGGTCAATCAGAACAGAAACTTAACAAGCTCAGCGATGAAATGTCATCCACTTTCGTAAACATGTTTTACTTAGAACTTAGAACCAAATATAACTAGCAATTTGCATTTATATGAAATTTTAGTTAAAAACTTTGGCCAGTTAAAAGAGCTATAACCATTTTTATTGTTGGATTATCAATAAATAAGATTTATGCTTTTTTAACACTAATTGTAGAGATCTTTTGGGAGTGTTCTCACTGAAATGTCCTCACCCACGTGTAGAAATTACGATACTCCTAGTTATTTAAAAAATTCATAAAATTCCTAAGTAATGATCGACTCAATCAGTTTTAACTTTAACTATATTTTTTTCTCATAAAATAACTTTTTCTCACAACTGATTTTCAAGTCCTTGTATATTCAGCTTTGAAGGAATTTTAAAAACAAAAAATAATATTTTACCTCTATCATTATAAGTATGTAATGTACTCGCATAACTATATTAATACTTATTGCAAATAAACAAAAGGTAACTCACGTTCAGATATTCTTTGTTTTAGGCACTTAAAAAATTTACACTTGTTAATACAAATTCAAAAATACTGTTATAAGAACCATTAAATAAATAACATTATTTATTTTTGTTTGCAATAATACTCTGTTATCCATAATACTTCATTTGTTTTGTTTTTAAATTGACCCATTACAAATCTGCAATTATAGTAGTAGCATATCCGAGAACATATCATAGTGATAACATAACATAATTTTTTACTGTAATAGCAAATTGCCTTGTATATAATTTATCAATAATGCGGACTAAGATACTAACGTATGATCGAAAAAAATGGCGTCCAGTTGGCGTGGAAATGACGATCGATGACATTTCCAATATAATTTTACATATAAAATGACAGCGATCTTCATTTCATAGCCATCGCTGACGCCGTTTTTATTCGATCATACGGTATTTACCATACGATCTAATAAAAGACGTCAGAGTTGGCTTGGAAATGAAGATTGCTCAAGTTTCGTTTACTTGAAATAAGTTATGTAAGAAATATTTGTTTATTTAGTACTTGGAAGGGGGCCTTTTTTAATAGTATACAGGGTGTTTCAAAACAAATGCGAAAAACTTCAGGGGTGATTCCTTGTTCAAAATAAAGGGTACGTTGGATCAAAAGTCGGAGATATCGCGGTACAAAGATGGCGGAAAAATAATGTTTTTATTTTTTATCTTGAAAACGAAAAGAGATAGACTAATGCAATTTTATGGAAACATTACTGTTAAGAAAACAAACTTTCTGGTAATTTTTTCACTTTTTTAAAATGAGTGGAAGGGGTTGAAATAAACTACCCCTATCATTCTTTTTAACGAAATTTAAAGAAAAACCTCATCAAAAACATGCAAAAAAATGATTTGGATAGTTTAGTTTGTTTAGAAACTTTTTTATCTCTTGTGTTTTCTCATAAAACTCACCGATTTGAAATTAAAAATTAAAATGTAAAGCATTACATGTCAGGACAAAAAACATTTTTAGATAAAGGACTTCGGAATAATTAATTGATCGTAAGATAATAACGTATTGCAATAGAGTAATGTCAAATAAAATAATATTAGAAACATCATAAAAAGTGACAGCAGCCGACCAGATTTTTTCCTAAAAAAATACAGCAGCCCACTAGATTCTTTGATTTTCATAACAGTAATGCTTCCATAAAATTTCATTAGTCTATCGCTTTTCGTTTTCAAGATAAAAAATAAAAACATTATTTTTCCGCCATCTATGTACCGCGATATCTCCCTAATGGTTGACTTTTGACCCAACGTTTATAAAGCAAACTACCCTTTATTTTGAACAAGGAATCACCTCCTGAAGTTTTTCGCATTTGTTTTGAAACACCCTGTAGGTATATGTCACAAAAATATTTCTGCGGAAATGCATAATTTTCAGTTTTTCAACTTAAGAATAGCTGAAACCAGTTACATGAAAACACGTTTCTGTTTTTCATATTATGTTTTTTTTATAAGTGATTTCAAGTAAAAAAAGCTTCACCCATGAAGATATACCGGGTGCGTCTCAAAAGTGGCTCACCCGTATAACTTTTTTATTTTTTCAGTTAAAAAAACGAGATTTGGTATATTAGTATATGACATAAATTAGGCTTGATTGACGTATTCAATTTTTTTGGTCACTTCCTGTTTCACCGGAAATCACTACAACTTTTGATTTTTAAATGGCACTCTAGGTATTTTTTTACTTTACTCGATAGGAAATAAAGGGGTCTATTCACATGCGATTTTGTACGGCGGATTTATCCGACGAATATGTCCGGCGGCCAAATCCGTACGTGTGTATTCGCGTGTCTGCTGGATATGTCGCATATTTTTTTACTTTATTCGAAAGAAAATAACACTCTGAATAGAAGGACATATCAAATGTCAACTTTTGACATTTTGGCATATGGTGTATTTGAAATTATAAGTTGCGGTTCGTAACGAAAATTTGACTCGAAATACCAAGTGTGTGGTATCACAGGATGGCGGTTTTGTAAGAGGCTTCCTTGATTAAGAATTAGTGTTTTTAACATAGCTATGGCACTCTAGATTGAAATTTAAAATTCAATTTCATTTTAAGCGAAAATGTCAAAAGTTGACATATGATATGACATTCTACTCGGAATGTCATTTTCTATCGAATAAAGTAAAAAAAATACCGAGATTGCCATTT